ACAGTGTCTTTCTTACTTCCAAAGGAAGAGAGGGTTACTACTATTGCATAGCTCCTTCCCCAGACACTCTTACCTATAAATCTTTTACACCAAAATCATTTACATAATAAAGTTGTAAAAATATTACCATTATAGAGCTGTGTTTCTCTCAAGCTATGTTGGTAATCACTGACCACCAGGGGGCAGCTCCTGTGTTGAGCGTCTGTCCTCTGGTGGTCAGTGCGCATCATAGCCACCGGTTGATCGGTCATTTGGTCGTTCAGTAGCTTAGGCTTTTATATATAGAAATTTGAAGCATATATCAGGGTGAAAGCATAACATAGATATAATTACGAGATAAAGGGAGCAGTTTTGGAGAGTTGACAAGCTAATTTCTTTAGTTAAAAAGAAGTAAAAGACTGTCCTTTCATTCTGACTTAGACACAGAAGAGAAAATTTACTCTGAATCCATTAAGAAAATAAAGCAGGACTGTTGGTTTTGTAAATTGGTGAGCACTGTCGATTTTCATTTCTGGTGAACTGACCACACACTCCACAGTGGGAAGAATAGAACGGATGACTTCTTGGTGCATGGGATGGTGCTCAATCCACTGAGCCACACGAGCTGGGCTAGGGTTTTAAAAAATTTGATAAGAATATTAAGTTGAAAGGAAATGGTCATTCTGTAAAAAAGCCAGAAATATTAGTTTTATTTGTAAATTCTGTTTTGTTCCTTGGTTAGCTTCTTTTTTTTTCTTTTCTTTTTTTCAGCATTGACAGTGATGGAACGATGACAGTGGACTGGGATGAATGGAGGGACTACTTCTTACTTAATCCTGTTACAGATATCGAGGAAATTGTCCGTTTTTGGAAACATTCCACTGTAAGTACACTGTCTGGATCAATTTATCCCTGTTTGGAGCTGTAAGCCATTGGTATGGTCGCCACCTGAGAACACTGGGACATTTACAGCGCGGACACCCAACCCAGTCCCAGTGGCTCCTTAAGCTGTGGAGCTCGTTTTAGCTTAGGCTTTTATATATAGAAATTTGAAGCATATATCAGGGTGAAAGCATAACATAGATATAATTACGAGATAAAGGGAGCAGTTTTGGAGAGTTGACAAGCTAATTTCTTTAGTTAAAAAGAAGTAAAAGACTGTCCTTTCATTCTGACTTAGACACAGAAGAGAAAATTTACTCTGAATCCATTAAGAAAATAAAGCAGGACTGTTGGTTTTGTAAATTGGTGAGCACTGTCGATTTTCATTTCTGGTGAACTGACCACACACTCCACTTAGTGGGAAGAAGCTATTGACCCTCATCTCTGCTTGGATTGGTTTGGTGACTTTCAGGGAATGAAGCTGATCTTAACTATAAAATAACACCTGCTCCTCCTTTAAAACAAAATTGCTGGAATGATCCATGTTTAGTTGAAGGAGCATGTACTCTCCACCCTCTCCCCCTCTTAACAGGGTATTGACATAGGAGATAGTTTAACTATCCCGGATGAATTCACAGAAGATGAAAAAATGTCGGGACAGTGGTGGAGGCAGCTTCTGGCGGGAGGCATTGCTGGCGCCGTCTCCCGTACAAGCACCGCGCCCTTGGACCGTCTCAAAGTCATGATGCAGGTGAACTTCGTGACCTTGTGTCTGTTTGTCCTAAATACCCTCAAACACCAAGAAATAGGGTGCTTTGGAAAAAGTTATCAAACTCTCCATAGTAGTCTTTTATACCTTTAAAAAGTATCTCTGCATTTTATTGCTATGAATCCTAAATTCAGTCCATGTAATGATTTCAGTGTTCTGCCAAACCTTAAATTGTTGATACATGTGTGTGATGAGCTCTTAATCTTTGGTGTTCTACAGCTATTCAAGTGTGGGTTTTGGGACTCGGTCGTGGGCGCCCCAGCGGATGCTGCGGCCTCAGGTCTCGGCCATCGGGACCCCCCTCCCTCTCACTTCCACGTGGGGAGCCTGAGGGGCCCCGCGGGGGCCATCCCGGCCGCCAGACGCCCCGATGGACTCCCTCTACCAAGACCTCTTTTGGTACCTGGACCACGATGAGGACGGGACCCTGGACATCCTAGAGCTTGAGGAAACCCTGGGTGATATAGGGATCGCTGCCCCCCAGGACCCAGGGAAGGTGGGCTCGGGGGGCCGAGGGCGGAGAGATGTGGGGGCTGTGTATTTGTTTTCTTTACGATTACTTTATTTCTTTATTAAACACGTTTTCCCTGGTTACTTGGGGTTGGGGTAAGCCTTTGATTCTTCATTGATTCCCAGCCGCTCTTCGTTTCTAACTCTGCACTTCAGTCCATGAATTTCCCTCTAAGCTTTGGCAGCGGTTTCAGACCCTCTCCCCTCCGAGTCCGGAGCGTGGAGGTCTGACCATGACACGTCCGGCCGCAGCGAGGCATTGAGCCCTGGGTGGGTGACGGAGGCCCTTAGCCGGCAGAAGGTACATTTTGGGTGACAGAGGGAGAGGGCCTGTCCATGTCTTACCAAATACCATACTTCTCATTGCTTTCTCTAAAGCATTGCTTTCTACTAATGGAGAGCATCTGATACGACAGCTTTTTATAAGGAAAATATTATTTAATTTGGGAAACCCAAGGGAAAATATTGTTTTAGATATTTAAATCCCAAGTGTTCGTCTTCTGCCTGGGGATTTATGAAGTACATGTCTTACAGGAAAACAGCCAACCTACTTGAAGTGTATGTACAAATAATTTAGTATTTTTAACCCATGTTAAAAGACTTCCATTTTTTTTTTCTAGAAAATTTTTTCTACTGGTGATATCGACAAAGATGGGAAGCTGGATTTTGAAGAATTTATGAAGTACCTTAAAGACCATGAGAAAAAAATGAAATTGGCATTTAAGAGCTTGGACAGAAATAATGACGGTATATTTTATTTTCTATTCATCATCTTGCTAGGACAGTGATGGCGAACCTATGACACCCGTGTCAGAGGTGACACGCGAACTCATCTTTTTGGTTGGTTTTTCTTTGTTAAATGGCATTTAAATATATCAAATAAGTATCAAAAATATAAGTCTTTGTTTTACTGTGGTTGCAAATATCAAAAAATTTCTATATGTGACACGGCACCAGAGTTAAGTTAGGGTTTTTTAAAATGCTGACACACCGAGCTCAAAAGGTTTGCCATCACTGGCCTAGGAGGTAAGT